GCATTCAAAATAAAAAAATGTGTTTTTTGACCGGGGCACCCCGGTATAAAACTTAAAATTTGATATAACGGAACGTCGATATAATGGACAAAAGTGTTGGTCCCGAGCAGTCCGTTATATCGACTTTCACTGTGTATAATATTCAACCACACAAAACTATCAACATTATCTTCAACAATGGAGTTGTACCCCACAAGCAAAAATGCTATTGTTAAAGAAAAAAGATAGCTAAAGCCTGATCAATGTGAATAAGAGAAATTTTATTTTGAGTGAAAGTAAAATACCAAGGAGTTGTGCCCCATAATCTGGCAGCTTATACCAATGCTTTGCTATTATATTGGATTCATGTTCAACTATTGAAAAGAAAACCTTGGATCTAGATAGACACATTGTATCTGTACCCTGTGGAAGGGATTGTTGGATAAAAGATAATATACACTGAATCCTATCACATATCATCATTAAAATGTTTTTCTCATTATAAAACATCAATTATATGCCTTATCTGACATTATACTTTTAAGTAGTATATAGATAAATTCATCATATAAATATTTTCTTTCTTAACCAAACTTCTTACATTCTTTCATAATGGCGATCCTGCCTAAATATTTTTTTTATTTTTTTATTTTTTAACAGATAGTTTCTCATGTTTTCCTTGTCTTAAGATTTTTCAAATAATATATCTGTTATGATAGCAAGCCAATATGTATAGTCATATATCCCATTTTATTTGATTTTGTAAAATGTATTACATTAATTACTTTATCAATAAACATAAGGAAGGCCTTACTTAGTATTAAAAAAAAAATAATAATTTAATTTAAATAAAATTATATTATTTGATTATTTTTATATTATTTGATTATTTTATTTTATTATAAGAAAATTAGTTTATTAAGCTATTACTATATAATATTAATTATCTTAGACTTTTTAAATTCTTTCAACTCTCTAGTTGCACTATAATGTTATCTGGTTATAAGTATAATATTATCTAGTTACTGTTTTTAGTATTCTGTAATTTTTCTATTACTTTATTACTAACCACTTGATTTTATTATTCTATAGCTTTTTTATTGCTTTGTAAATATTTGCTTGATTTTATTGCTCTGTCCTCTTTTTATTTCCTTCTATCTATCCGCTTGTTTTCATTGCTCTATGGTCTTTTTGTGGCCAAGATACTAGGCCGACGTTTATTGCTAAAAAATCATGTTGTGATCAGGTGGCGCAGTAAATTTGCGGATCAGGTTTTGGCCGGCACTATGCTATATTTTTGACCTGATCTTTAGGGCGGAATTTCTTGGTTTCCTGTGATTGGATTCGTGCGGTTTTGTGGTCATTTGAAAGAAGGCATTGAGAGCTTTCCAATGATGCTAAGACCGCATGAATCGGATGCTTGGATGCCGAGTTTTGCGTCTCAAAGTTTTGAAAAAAAATATGGAATAGTGCTGGCCGAAATTAACGAAATTTACTGCGCCTTACTGCGATAATCACGTGTTTCGGTCCCTCGCCAGTTCCAGGCACTTCCCCGTCACTTTCTCGCAACTTTCGAGTAACTTTCAAGTAACTTTCGAGGGTTAGTTAATTAAAGGGTTAGGGTTCTGATAGCATCAATATGGCTGGCCCATTATTTGCCGGAAATGCGCACCTTGCAACCAAAGCAACTATTGCATATTTATTGCCGGTACATGTATGCCAATTTCACGTCCAAAGTTGGAGATGCGATATGTATTATTGTGGCCGGCCCATTTATACCATACCCGAGTACATATCTAGAAAAATATAAGTCTTCTTCCATTATTTTATATAATATTTCCGAAGAAGACTTATCCTCTGGATACATATATACCACATATGCCCGAATACAACCATCGAGATGTAGCCTTTATGCCACACCCGAGTACATATCTAGAAAGATGGTGCCTTCTTCCAATTTTTTATATAATAATTCCGAAGAAGGCCCACTTCAGATACATATCCGTTTTCCTTTCATTTACGATTTGTTGACTAAGTTTGTTATCACTTCTTTATTACATCTATCGAAAAAAATTAATTAAACATTTGGAATTATATTGTGATGTAATAACTTTACCTACTGATAACATACATACACCAACTAATTTCGACCAAACTGATCGCTCTGGAACTGACCCTCTCGCCCGCTACGACGGCGCCGGCCCCGATGAATATTTAAGTGACTCAAGCAGTCGTACTGATAATAGATCCGACTTAGGGTCAGATGATTATAATGACTATGAGTCTAATTATGAGTCGGATAATGAAGAAGCTCCCTGTGCTTTAACCAGCACTATCAAGACTCCATTTGTTCAACCACCAAATGTAAAAGAGCGAAAGATTAATATGGCATATACTTTAAGGCAGGAAAAGTTTAGTGATAATAAGGAGTTGCTAAATGCATTCGAGAAATTTTCCTATCACCACCTAGAGATATGTCAGATGAAAAGGGGTCATTGGAATGTCTCCCAATCTATTCATTTCTCTTTCCGAATGAAAAAGGGTCTAGTTTATATAATGCTTATGACCGGGATGAAGTGGAAGATAAATTGATTATCAAAATCGACCAAGACAGTGATCGTGCCCCGAAGTTTTCCATTGCAAATGACATTTCAGAAGTATATGGTTTACCAGGGATTCACGAATGTATTAATGGTCAAAAATCTTTAAGGGCTGTAATCGATATAGATGCTCCACAGGAGGGTATGGAAACAACTGGTGTTAAGGCGCAAGAAGTATTCATTCGAATCTGCCTATCTTTCATAAGAGCCTCATATCAAATTCTTGACTGTAGTTGGGAAAATATTCTCAATGGGTTAGTAATTGCTACGTCTTCAGATTCTAGCAAGTGTAGCTATCACGTTTTATATGCATGAACTCAAAGCATTCACAGAATTAGTATATACCTTAACCGGGGAGAAATTTGGTAAGTATATTGATCGAGGATTACCTGGTCAGAATTTTAACCTTCGCCTTATCAGCAAAAAAAGGTCGTGTGAAGCGCATTCTTCAATTCTCACTAGATAATGGGTGGAATGACCTCAATCATACTAGAGTTCAGCCACCTATAAGCTTAGGGTTTGAAGTAAGACCCCGATTACTTAGCACAGAAAAAATAACAATCCACTAAGAATAATCGTAGGTCATGATATATTACAAAAATACGCGGACCTTGTTTTGCAGAGACATTCTAACTATCTTAGGGATTGGACTATCGAAGAAAAGGACTCAGAAAACTTCGTATATTTTAATCGGAAAGCTCCACTAG